ATCTATCTATCTATCTATCTATCTATCTATCTATCTATCTATCTATCTATCTATCTATCTATCTATCTATCTATCTATCTATCTATCTATCTATCTATCTATCTATCTATCTATCCATTTATCCGTCTGTCTGTCTCTCTGTCTGTCTATCCATTTATCCGTCTGTCTGTCTATGTCTTTATCTGTCTGTATTTATCTATATGTCTGTCGGTTGGTCTGTCTGTTTATATATCTACCTACCCACGTTTTCTCCTTTCTATCTATCTTTCCTTCCTACCTTATGTGTATTTATCTCTCTATCTGTCAGTCTGTTGGTCTGTGTGTGTGTGTTTTTTTTTGGGTCTGATTGCCTGTCACTCCGTCCGTCCGTCCGATCACCGCTGCCTGTATCTCTGTCCCTCTGCCTGCCTGCCTGTCTGCCTCTCCTTTCCTATTTTCCTCCTTTCTATTTCTCCCTCTCTTTCTTTCTGTCTGATCCCTCTCTCCATTCATTCATCTATTCACCTTATTTTTTTTTTTTGAAATTCATCTGTCGAATCTACATAACAGGAATAGCTCCAGTGCTAAATGGACACTAGTGCAAACACACAACAGTTAAAACAGCGTGCAGCCTAATGGAAGGGCCACACACAAGCTGCACTAAAACTACTGAATGCACACACGGCTTCTCTAGCATTCCGTGGCCAAATCGCGCATCCATCTAGTTTTATGGCCAGACTAATGTCACAGAGGGAGTACGCTGTATCACTCCCTGCACGTGATCACACTCTAAAGATATTCTGGTACATTAAACATGTACAGTTAGGCCGAGAAATAGAACAGGAGACAGAGATCTAAAGAAAAGGTAAAAGAAAGAGGATCGACGTTATTGCACACGGTTTTATTATATCGTGAACTTATTGGCGCCGCGGTGAAACAAACCAACGACCTTCAGAGCGCGAGGCAAACGGTTTAACTCAGGTGACACGAAGACTCCCGGAAATAGAGAAAAGGAGAAAAGCGAAGTGTGAGTAAGTAAAGTAAAGTAAAGATCCCTTTACACGCCTTTAGGCGCATAGGGCAAATGGCAAGAGCACCCATATTTTTACAGACCAATCGGCACTCGGTGGGTAATGTGGTCAGCATTACGCCGGCTGTCTTTACTTTCCCAGGAAAGCCCATCCTGGTACCCATTTGAGGCTGTGTCGACCTGCGACGTCCCATACCACGATAAAAATCCACGCAGCCCACGCAGGTTTCGATCGCGGTACGTTGGATTACGAGTCAGACTCGCAACGCCTTAGCCACGGACGCCGCCTACTGGCATGGAGGGTATAGAGATAAAACATGAGATGAAGAGATACAAGGAGACAAGGAATCGGAGAGTATTGAAGAGAAAAAACGAATAGACTCACTGCCTTCCTAGTAACATGACGTAGGAGTAGACTAACTAGGTATTTCCTTCAAAGTCGGAGAGCATCTGCCAGAGCGCAATAGCACAACCAGCTGCACACAAATAAGACAGTGAAACGGATGTACACGCAAAACTCAGGCCCTGGCACGAAGGCAGAGTTCAGAGGGACGAACCACCAGGACTTTCCGCAGGAGCTTAAACATAAAAAAGAAGAACCCAAAATGTCTTTTTTTTCGTATACTATTGTTTTGTCCTCTGCGCTGAGAGCATGTTCGCGCAACTAAAGTGCTAACAGATCAAGAAACTCCGGGGTTACAACGACGACCTCAGTATCACTGAAACAGCTGCCAGTCAACAACGGTACCTGAAAGCGAATCCACGACCGTTAAAGCACAAAAGAACAGCTTTACTATTTCGTAGCCAAAATTACAAATTACATTTGGTTGCAAAATTCCCTTGGTGACAGAAAACAAGAATAAAAACAAAAGACAAGCGAGCTAGATTAGTAGGGAAAGCCAACCAGTTTTCAGGAAAGGCACATGGAAGCCAACAGAGAGGCGTTTAAACAAATAAACACATAAACATTGTGTGTGTGTGTGTGGGTGTATATGTGTGTGTTATGTGTGTGTGATCGATCATTTACTTTGCGATATTGAGCCGCTGTGGTGTAGTGAATAGACGCTCGCTTGCGGACCTCACTATTTATACATTCATGTGTAGTTTTCCGGCTGGCAAACTAAAAGAGGTCGCCTTTGTTCTGATGGTCGCTCGGACTCCCTCTATCCTGTCAAATGCGCCACTTCCTTAACGAACACTTGCATTGTCCGCAGTATTAGCCCTCGCTTAAGTCCCGGCTGAAACGGAAACAATCAACAATGCCCATTTTCTTCTTGTGGATCAGGTATGGATTTTTATATTTTGAATATGTGTTCTTTTGTTGCCTGTTGGTATAGGCTCCAGTGCAACGTTTCTATCTTAAATAAACCAAATTAATCAGTTAACGACTCAGTTCCACGTTTTATGCCTCATGGCTATCTTTGTCTGTGATGTATTACCCCCCCCCCCCCCCCAGCAAAATATTTCTCCTACTTGACCCCCATCAGATAAAACAAATAGAGTAAATAAAGTGAAGGACCCTTTCTCACGCCTTCAGGACTTTTTGGGCATATAGGGCTAGACCTATATTTCATAGACATTTCGGCACTCAGTAAGTGATGTGGACAACGATTACACCAGCAGCTTTTATTCCCCAGGACTTTACCTGTTATCCATTGATGGCTTGGTCGACCTGGGAGCCAAGGTCATTTCTGAAAAAAGTTGGGCGCTGTTAGGACCTGAACCGACTAACTTTAGATATGTAGGCAAGCTTCAAGCGCTGCACCACAGCGGCTCTCAACATACCCATGTGGCTGCTCGGTATTAGCGAAATATATGTATTAACTGAGAGATAGAGGAAAGCAAGGTTCAGACAACAAAAATGAAATATATGTATTAACTGAGAGATAGAGGAAAGCAAGGTTCAGACAAATAAACATGAAATGTGTTTCTCTACACTGTCTGTCTTCTTTGTCTCTCTCTCTCTCTTTGTCTCTCTGCGTGTCTCTCTCTGGTCTCTGTTTCTCTCTCTCTCTCTCTCTCTCTCTCTCTCTCTCTCTATCTCTTTATCTATCTACCTCTCCCTCCTTCTCCCCGATAACATATACAAAAAGCATAAGAAAAACGTATGCATGTGATGTAGAACTAGTGAGGCATATACAGGTTTCTCTTTTTTTCTCTCTTTCTCTCTATTTCTATCCCTCTCTCTCTCTCCCCTAAAACATATACACATACATAAACATATGTATATGGTGTGACACTAGTGACAGCACATACAAGACGAGAGAACGCCAGACACAAGGCTCGCCAAGCAAAAACGGAAGCCATCGATCCCTTGCTCATCTGTTTGATTTGTGCTCTAATTGATCATATCCGGCATAGGCCAAACATTGAAGACAAACTGTGCAATTATTGAACTTGTGCAGGGTGTGTTTGTGGTGAATGGTGCCTGCTCTCTCTCTCTCTCTCTCTCTCTCTCTCTCTCTCTCTCTCTCTCTCTGTGCTTCTCTGTATCCGTCTCTCTCTCTTTCTCTCTCTCTCTCTCTCTCTCTCTCTGTGCTTTTCTGTGTCCGTCTCTCTCTTTCTTTCTCTCTCTCTCTCTCTTTCTCTCTCTCTCTCTCTGTGCTTCTCTGTGTCCGTCTCTCTCTCTCTCTTTCTCTCTCTCTCTCTTTCTCTCTCTCTCTCTTTCTCTCTCTCTGTGCTTCTCTGTGTCCGTCTCTCTCTTTCTTTCTC